GTTTGGTTACAGCTGGCGTCCGCATGGATACAGTGGACCTCTCTGTGGTTTCACTGCATGTCTCTGTGGTTACGCCGCACATCCGTTTGGTTACAGCTGGCGTCCGCATGGATACAGTGGATCTCTCTGTGGTTTCACTGCATGTCTCTGTGATTACGCCGCACATCCTTTTGGTTACAGCTGGCGTCCACATGGATACAGTGGATCTCTCTGTGGTTTCACTGCATGTCCCTGCGGCTACACCGCACATCCTTGTGGTCCCCTGTCCTTATATAGACCACCTTCTTAAAGTCTGCTTAAATTCTTTTTGTTGGAAAAAAAATGCTTCCAGCATCCATGCATAATTTGCTGCAGTTACTTGTTTATGCACAGGCTAACAATTTAAGCAAATGATTGGAAATGATTATGTCGTACTGTTACTTGTTTGTTCAGCGTTTGTCAGCCGCTGCCTTATGGATAGTGTGCAGTGGTAGAAATACAGTTGAGATACACTGACTTAGGTGATATTGTGGGGCTGTATCCTGAATGCTTAGTTAAGTTCTGTTCTCCTTTCCTTGCTGTCACCGTGATTTTTCATCCGGAAAAGGAGCACAGGTTGATAATTGATGGTTTACTAATGGTGTTTGTTTTACCACCCGTGAGATGTGAAGCCTGCTGACCAGCATCACCTCCCCCCTCCCCGACGGAGATTTACCAGCATTTTCCATTGGCCTGTAACCTGGGGGACTCTGCCACTGTGACCTTGAAGGGGGAATTCTTTGAGGAAAGGTCACAATGACAGTTGACATTGAGAAGGAGGCCTCTTCGTACGCCATGTGGAAGTCAGCACTGGTGCGAATGACTTGGGGGTGCCCACAGGAGTGACCTTCTTGGACTAACTCTCTTCCTCTTTTTGTCTGTTTTGCTGCCAAGTCTATTTAAATGTTTGATCGCCCTTCGTGTTCATTTACGATGGGAGAGCCGCCCCCGCAGTCACTAATACCCAGGATTCCCTACACTTACTCATCTGCTCAGGTGATGCCCTCAGTGAAAAGGACTAACTCGCTAGCAGTTGGGCACACAATCCATCTACGTATCTAAAAATCAGATAAAGGGAGTTGCGATAATGCAAAGGAAACGGCTTCACAATAGGGTGCGACAGTAGCTGGAAAAGATCATATAAGATAAGATAAGACTTTATTGTCATTGAATTGCTGAGAACAACAAACAACAAAATTACAGTGGTAATTTATAGCCTGTTAGCCTTAGAAGGAAGGAACATTGTAAAGGAAACAGGTGAGAACCCAGCGAAGTTGCACAAAGTGCCATTTTGCATGTGGATGCCACATTGTCCAATGGAGTTGCATGCGGATGCCACATTGTCCAATGGAGTTGCATGCGGATGCCACATTGTCCAATGGAGTTGCATGCGGATGCCATATTTTTTGATGGTACTGCATGCGGGTGCTGCACTGTTCGGTGGTACCGCATGCGGCTGCAAAATTGTTCAGTGGTGCTGCAGGTGGATGTGGAAAGGAGAACAGAACTTAACTAAGCATTCAGGATACAGCCCCACAATATCACCTAAGTCAGTGTATCTCAACTGTATTTCTACCACTGCACACTATCCATAAGGCAGCGGCTGACAAAAGCTGAACAAACAAGTAACAGTACGACATAATCATTTCCTCGTTTGCTCCTCTGCCCTCAAGCAACGTGCTAATCCAGACGGACAGATGCTTCAGCTTAGGGACCTGTGTGGTTCTGCAGTGGCGGATCCCAAACCCAGACCTGTCACAGCCTCACAGTGCAGTAAGCGAAAACCTGGAGTTTTATTTAGCTGCTTGCTCCTTGAAGCAGCGTAAACAGCTGATTTTCTTCTCAGCTTCTCTCTCCTTTTTTCAACTGTCTGTGCTGCCCCAAATGATGGACGAATGTGTGATACCTCAAAAGGATTTTAAGAAGAAATGGTCACAACTACAGAAAGAAAATAGTTTATATATATATACATACACACACACACACACACACAAACATACATGCAGGCAAACACACTGTATGTATCCCTTTACTTTTCCAAACAATTGAAATCACCTGGTTGGTCCCCATAACATTTCATCATATATTATTTTTTGCAAGACATTCATTTTATGTTCTAACGCTGATTTTTTTTCTTTTTAATCTGGATGGTGAGTCGATTTTATTACTCTGGTAAAGTGCTGAAAATTGTAGCTCAACATTATTATTTTCTACCCCAAGAAGAGTATTTTGCCTTAGGAAAACGTCTGAAAGAAATTCGTCTAGAAACTTCATCTTTATGCAATAGGCTGGTTACGCAACATAAAGATTTTCATCGAGAGACTCAGGGAACGATTATGTAACAGGCCAGGATGTGGATCTCTGGTGTGACATTAGCGTGTAAATGACTCACGCAATTTGTGTCAGATCAAAGGCAGACGGTCGTCAAAATGCAAGCGGGGTGTCTGTAGTATGACCTATTGTGCATGTCATTGGCACATTTTTTGTATTAATATAAATAGTTTGGATACGTACCATACAAGACAAATTGCAGAGTTCTGTTTTTGTAAAAAAAAAAGTTTAGTTAAGATGTGCAATTACCCGAAACACGATTGATCCCTAGTGCGCTATTAAATGGCTTAGAGGTGCAGTGTCTTAACACAAAATAAAAGACAACTCAATTACTGACACAGCGGGGTTTGGGGACGCAATGAGCCCGTTGTTGAACTACGAAACGGTTCACGACGCGATGGGAAAAAAAACTCATAATAAGCACAAGAACTTGCAGCGTTACGTGTCTCAGGAGTTACCTGGCCATGGGTACAGAGCCGATACCCTTCTGCCTGGGAGCGGAACCGTGCTAGATCTCGGGGGATGCGGCTCAAGGACCGCTGGAGAGCCCGGCGGTAAGCGCTGTTCAGTCACACAGCGGAAGAAAATGCCCGTTTTAAATGGTGACTTTTGGTTCGTAGGAGGGAGTGCGTTACTGACGCGCTTTTTATCTCAAGGGCAGACCAGCTTTAAGTCAGAGTACCCAGACAAAGAGATCCGCGCAAAAGACGCCCACGACGCCCATAACGTCCACTTCCAGGTTTTATTTAAAACACATCATGCGTTTTCTGAAATTATTCAGCCATTACTATATTTATAAGAGCACAGCGGTTTTAGCGTTCAGTCATTCTGACTGAATTGCTACCAGCTGCCGACTGATTGAATTTAATGGACTCGATAAAAAAGTCCCATTGAATTACTTGCTTTTGGGTGACCTTCGGGATAGAAAAGTCAGAAGACAGCAAAAGAAACAGGGGAATTGTGAATCAACTGCCCTTGTGGCAATCCATTTCCAGCAGGCTCGAGGAGGGCTTGTTCTGTAAACTGTAGACTTTAAGAGAAAAACCAGCTGCCCTTCTGTGTGAAGCTCTTCACAGATTTGTAGACCTTAGAAGACAAACACTCAGATACCTAAGAATGAGTCCTACCCCAAGGCTTAACATATAGAACATGATGAAACACGACAGTCTAAACAAATAAAGTTAGGCTCCATTCTGAAAATTCATTGTTTTTTTTTTTCTTTAAAACTTTTAATCAGTAACTGCAAACTGTTTTTTAATAATGTTTAATATGAGCGGCGGGGTCAGAAGGGTTTGAGATATTTCTTGTGTTTGAGCTCATTATTTTGCCTGCCTGCATTCACCCGAGAACAGGAGGAAAAAAAAATTCTGTGAAGCTTATAGGGTAAGTAGAGTCTGCGCTGAGACAGGGGCTTATAGGGTAAGTAGAGTCCGCGCTGAGACAGGGGCTTATAGAGTAAGTAGAGTCCGCGCTGAGACAGGGGCTTATAGGGTAAGTAGAGTCCGCGCTGAGACAGGGGCTTATAGGGTAAGTAGAGTCTGCGCTGAGACAGTGTGCTGATGTCTGACGATCGCTGGGGACACCAGCCTGTCTGAACCCCCTGGGCAATGAGACGGACAGGGGAGCGTGACTCCAGACACCGTACCTATGATCTGTGGTGGTTCAGCATGGGGGGCAGGTCTCAGAATGTGCCGGAATTACTGTAGAAAAATCCCAATTGAACAGTTTAATGTAGTTATTCTGCATAGACGTGTTATTGTGGGCTGATTTACAAGGGCAATGGGCCGCCTGTATGCCTGGGGTGTGTCAGGAAGGGATATTTCTGCCCTAGCGCATCTCTCGTCGTGTGCCCTCGTCAAGCGGGTTCGGTGACACACGTCGCACGTGTGCGGTGACGTGTCCCACCTGTCCTTCGCTCGCCCCGATTGGTTAAAATAAGCACCCCACATGGGCGTGCACAGACATTTCACCAGGCTCGAGAGCCTGACGGCAGTCCCTCTCCTGTAAACCGAAACTACAACCTCAGGTCACGGAGGCGGTTATATAAACACTCAGCATGACATGAGCTTTCAGGCGCGGATGGGAATCGGAACCCGGAAAGGGAAGCGGCATGCGGCATGCGGCATGCAAGCATGCGCCCAGATGCACTGCCCCAGTAATAACCCATACGCTGCTGTAAATCTTCAGGGATGGTAAACGGGCCTCTTTTCTTGGTAGTATTTATAGTGGTGACCAGAACATTCCATGAGCGCCTGACAGCTGTGTGTTTGAGTGAGTGAGTGTGTAAGTGTGTGTTAGGTCACTGGGCAGTGGTTACTCAGGAAGCTTGGAACTTTATTTCTTTTTAATTTTTTTTGTCTGCCTTTCACTTTTACTCAGATGTAACCCTGGTCTGCAGATGGAGGTTGTCCTGGAGTAATTCAGGTCCAGCATTCCAACATCTCCAGCACACCAGCTGGGAGCTGAAGAGTCAAGTTCCTGTCACGTGTTTGGACTCTGGCCCCAGCCGCTGTCCGCTGTGCTCCGTGATTTGTGCCGCTCACTCCCTAGTCTTTAGTAAGACGTGTTTCATTTCATAAGCTGGCCTGATGCACTTGAACCTAATAATAGAATAGAATCTACCTCTGGAGACGTGTCAGATAGATGAAGACTCAAGACTCAAAAAATGAACTCCCTTCGAACCAAAGTTAACAAAACAATCAAAAGAACCAGAAGTTTGTTTATTTTGTTGTTGGACTGAAATCTATTCAGTAAAAAAAGTCAGTTTAGGGTAAAAGAATAATAATAATAATAACCCACACATGAAATTCTTAGATAAAATTCTATGTACAACATAAATATACTGATATTTTTCATATACATTATTCAAATCTATGGTAAAAAGGATGCATCAGAATTTAACCCAAATTCTGTTCACCACTGGATTTAAAATGTCAGCATATATACATAAAAGTTTAAATATAGAAAAATGAAAATGTCTTCTGTGATTTAGCCAGAAACTCATTCCCACATGCTGATAAAAGCCATTTTGAGTCTTAGAGCTGGGTGACTCTACAGTGAGTGTTGCATTTAGTACAAACAGGTTTAGTTCAGTATATATTTTATGTTTGAATTTAATATGCATTTTATATGTAAATTTGATGTATATTTACCAGTTCTATGTGTTCATTTTACCTTATTCATTTCAGTAAAGCTTATACTGGTGTTTCTCTACCCAGTCATCGGGCCCCCAGATGGTCCATAGTTTTTGCTCCTTCCCATCTCCCAGTAGGAGAAAAAACATGGACTTGGGGTGCCCAAGGACCGGGATGAGGAGCACTGGTTTATACCGAATTGTCACTTCAGGTTAAACCTCTGAGTAAACTAGGTTTCCAACTGAGAGATAAGAACATAATCAACAATGCACATGGTATGTAGCTATTAATTTATCTTCCCACAAAACTTAGAAATCAGTGTGGCTGGGGTGGTGAGGATTCTGCAGCTTCAGGGAAATCACGCTACTCATTACTGGACATGCAGCTTTAGATTTAACGTTAAACGGTGCTTATGAATCATGGCTGTAATAAGCACCGGGACGTCGAATACTGAGACTGCGATACGAAATGCGTTATTAACGGTGCTGTGGCAGGAAAGGCTCTGTGCTTCTGCTTCCTGAAGCTGCGCGTGAATCATTCGCCCCGTCGCTTGCTAACCTGGATACTGCTGTGCATTTTCCATTTTTTTCAACGCGGTTTTTGTTTGCTGTTGTTCATATACTTCTTTGAGTCCTTAAAAGCAACACTCGGAGTTGAAATTGACCCTGGCTTACCCAAAATTGTACTTTATCGATCAGATATGTTTATATAAATCCACAGGAAAAAAACAAAAGAATTCACAGGACTTGTATATGTAGCAATACTGAGTTTTCTTTGAGTGTGCTGTATTATATGTAAAAGTCATATTGAAGAATACTAGGCATATAATACTGATCAATGCATGTTAACATCAGTGGCGATATATAGATAATTCATGTTTCAAACAGATCAAAGAAACATGGTTTAATTTGGGGGTATTTGTTATGGCCCTTTAATATTTCGGCAGGCTGTAAAGTAATTGCACCTCAAATATGTCTTCAAACAAAACTCAAACAGGGTTCTGAATGGAGCTGTATGTCGTATGATCGTTACAAAAAGCATCAGCTTCCCTAAATTAGGCTGAAGGGGGATTTAACACCCTGACGGTGCTCAGCGTCATATATCCTATGGTCCAAGAGAGGCACCCCCATCCCTGGAAGGATCCCACTTGCCTCTGCTGCTCCTTCCATTCTCAGTGCAGCCTGTTTTTAGCAGTGCATGCCGTTTGACTTGGATAATCTTTTGGATTAGGGTCCTTCCAGGTGAGCTTCGTTGGCCAGTATACCACGTGACGTAGGGTCACATTCGCTAGATGCCCAAATGGTCGAGCTAAAGCTCCTTCTGCAAGCCGCCATGTCCAATGATCTAGCACCTACCCTACCCCTCCTGTGGGGCTGTTGGACTCCTCCACCTCCCCTTCCTCATCGCACTCCAGAAGCAGGGGTTCGAGGATCATGGGCAAGTCCCGGAGATGGAGTCTTGGTGCTGGGTCTGGGCGGGGCAGCAGGGGGGACGTCTGGGGTCCCCTTGGACCATTGGCCAGCTCTTTGGCGCTGCAGGAGGGTGTGTCCGTAGCGTAGATCTCATGGAAGCTGGTATAGTCTACCTCATAGAAGCCCTGCTCCAGAGAGAGGACTGGGGTGAACCTGTAACCCCACAGTACCTCCGTGTCCAGGTAGGAGCTGCGAGCCTGGCAGGTCATCCCTGTGGAGAGGAGGAGAGCAGGAGGGCAGAAGCTTGACACCTATACCTCTCTGACGCTCAGAAATCACAGGCGTGACCCTCGAGCTCAGGGAGCGGCAGGTCTGCACACCCCAGGCTAACGGTGCCCCTCTCTGCTTTTTGCGTCTTTTGAACGGCTTTAGGGGATCACGGCGATATCTATTCCCATAGAGGCTTCCGGAAGGTTCCCTGTGTATCAGATTCTCTACCAACAGAGACTCATTTTGTCAACTAGGGTGGGGTTAAGCTCAGGAAAGACAGGACAAGACAGACTTAACTAGCAAATACAGATAAGCACACATACTCACACGCAGGGACACACATACTGTAAACAAGCACGTTTGTGGGGACCATCCATTTATGTCTATGGGCATAACCCTAATCCTCACAGTGACGACCTTAACCCCTACCCAGCCATAACCTTAACCATAAGCAACCAAACAAAATACAAGACTTTTGGCTATTTTAGTTTTTCAATTGCAGTCAGAGATTTTTATAAAGTTGAGGTTTACATTGTGGGGACCTGAAAAACACGCAGACACCCCCTGCCTCCTCCTATGCCTCCTGCCACCTCCTCTTCACTCCTCCTCATGCTTCACAAACTTCCAAGGCCCTTGTCTGGCAAGATCTAATGGCTAGTTCCGGTTCCGTGTGTGTGTGGGGTCCACCGGACCCCTGAGGTAAAATGTTCTAAATGAGTACAGGCCAAGCAGCACAGGTCTAAGGCCTAACGTCTAGTTCAGTAACACTGTAGCAAACTCATAGATAACCCACTTCCATATATATCAAGGGGTATAGCCTAATATCAAGTGCAGTACTACAGTGGTTTTAAGAGCTTTTCACTGCCTGCACTGACTCACACATCAGGCGTTTAGTAAGGAAGCACAGTGGCCCTTTGAACCAAACCTCCACCGTGCCTTGCATAACCAACAGCCTGCTTAAGCACCGCATCGGTGTTGGAGTGACGGTGAGTCAGCTGACCTGGAGCTGCTATGCTATTGGCATGTCTGTCGCCGTGGGTACCAGTGAAGTGTCTGAGTGATTGGCTGGGGCAAATGATCAGGAAATTGATGGAATATGGGCAATGTCTTCCCAGAAAAGAGAAAGCGGAAACTTCAGACACACATTTCAAATGATGAATAATTAACGACATTTCGTTAGACTGTTCGGACAGGTCCCGCCTGCCAAACTACTTCTATCACATTTTTAAGCACATTTACCGGGAAACATCAATATATAGTATCTATGATATCCAAATAACCTCCATCTGGCTTAAGTGTAATATGTTTTGTGGCATTTAAGCCGTGGTGATGCTACTTCCTGTCACCTCCAGTGCCCAAAGTCACATGAGTCACATTTTAAACTTTTGTTTAAACCGACAGCGGGTGATGCCTGCAGGATTTTTCACTTAGATAACTTGATGACGGACAGAGAAACGGCACAAGAAAATGGTCTGGACTAACTGGTTAGCTTAGCATGAAGGCTCCAGTGCAGCCTGGACTAGCTGATTAGCTTAGCATGAAGGCTCCAGTGCAGCCTGGACTAGCCGGTTAGCTGAGCATGAAGGCTCCAATGTGCCCTGGACAGGCTGTTAGCTTAGAATGAAGGCTCAATTGTGGCCTGGACTAGCTGATTAGCTTAGCATGAAGGCTCAATTGTGGCCTGGACTAGCTGATTAGCTTAGCACGAAGGCTCCAGTATGCCCTGGACAGGCTGTTAGCTTAGCATGAAGACTCCAGTGTGGCCTGGAATAGCTGAATAGTTTAGCATGAGGACTGCAGTGTAGCATGGACTAGCTGATTAGCTTAGCATGAAACTTCCAGAGTGCCCTACACTGGCTGATTAGTTTAGCAGTGTAGCTAGTTAAAAAAATAACTATAGCTGCACATTGGGTCTCATTATGGTTCATTGGCTGCAGACCAACAAAAACAGCACTGTAAAAAGCAATTAGTTTTGAGAAATAAGGCGGTACAACACTTTAGCTCCCAGTGAAGAATAATTATACTGGCTTCCTGATCTATTTTTCAGAGGCAGACAAAGTTATATCTATGAACCAGGGTGACCACCTCTGGCCCTTCTGTATTTACAGCACCACATGATGTTAATTATAGTATAATAAATTACATCCAGAGAGCTTTAAAAAATACCAGCACTCAAGATTGCTGGGTATACGAATGGCTGCAAATATAGGTGCTGGCCCCATTAGCAAGCCCTTCTGGTTTGATAACAGTGAAAAAGCCGGCTTGCTCTGGGAGTTGCGCTCCATCAGATCTATTTTTGTGGAGTATTCCTGTCAAAACTCAACATCGATCTCAACGTGGCATCCTTCCAGCTAACCAGCACAGTAAGAATGGTGACCTGGACCAGCAAAGGCGGCATCATCAGTGTAAACCGAAGGGTTACTCGGTCCATCCTCCTGCCCCTCCCCCTCATACGCCCCTTCTTCCTCACTCGACAGGTACCCCGTTAGTGTCAGTGCACTTTTTTTTAAAGCTGAGCGAGAACCAGAAACATCATTCACATCAAGGTATAAACGAGATAGGATCTGTGGTGGGTGAATTAGCAAGTAACATGTGACCTTTTTCCTATAAACACGGCATTGTAACACTGTAGAGGACAGTCCGGAAAAGCGGACACAGCCCAAGGTCCGGCTTTAGCAAAAGCAGGTGGGTCAGTCATCTTTTGGGTCCTGGTTGGCAGAGCGGCATCACTGACAGCTGAGATTTGGATTGGATGCTCGAACATTAGGGGACAACAAGCAAAGAGGTCATGCCAGGGTGCTGTGACCAGAGGTGACATTACAGGTGCAGAAAGTAAAAATCCAAAGCAAGATTTTGTTTCAGCCAATCAGTTGAGCATAAACACTTGCAGTCACAGACTGGTTGGTTGAAGCAAAATCTTAGTCTGGATTTTTACTTTCTGGACCTTAAATATCCACCTCTGGCTGTAACCAAAGACCTACCTGTAGCCTCTACCATACCCTCCAGGATGACCACCATCTCAAACTCTTCCTTCTCCATCCGTGCCTGGCTCCACTCCCAGAACGGGCTGCGCTCGTTGATTTCGTGGGCAATGGTAAGTGGTGACACGAGGAAGAGGCGGTCGTCTCCCGTGTCGAAACCCACGTTGATGTCGGTCTGGTTGAGTGGGATGAACTCACCCTCCTTGGTCTGCTGCGAGCGGATGAGCTTGGCCCGGATGGAAGCCTCCACGATGTGCGAGTTGCGCAGGTCGCCCACGCGGAACATGAGGCAGAGCCGCCCATCCCGCACCGACACCACAGCCTTGTGTGAGAACACCAATGTCTCCGCCCGCTTTTTGGGCTGGGAGATTTTGACAAACATGCAGCCCACCATCAGGGCATTAACAATGGATCCCAGGATGGCCTGGAGGAGCAGAAGGATGATCCCTTCTGGGCATTTGTCGGTGATGACACGGTGACCATATCCTATGGTGGTCTCCGTCTCGATGGAGAAGAGGAACGCCGACACAAAGCTGTTGAGATTTTCCACGCAAGGCGTCCAGCTCTCCTCGCCAAGGTGGCCAAGGTCACCACGTGCATAAGCGATGAGCCACCAAAGCAGCCCAAAGAAGAGCCAGGTCACGCAGTAGACCAAGGTGAAGACCAGCAGGCTGAAGTGCCACTCGAGGTCCACGAGTGTGGTGAAGAGGTCGCTGAGGTAACGGTAAGTCTCCTGCACGTTGCCGTGGTGCACGTTGCACTTGCCGTCCTTCTGAACGTAGCGCTGCCGGGGCTTCTTGGCGCTCTCGGAGACCAGGCACATGCGATCCGTGCAGATGGGGATCTCTCTCACAGGCTTTGGGAGCTTCTTCACCTGGGGGCCAAGTGAAGGTACTGAGAAAATCTCTATGTGAGATACAGCCATTGGCACATCACTGGAAACAGACTGTTGGTGAGACAGACACTCACAATGTAACCCAATCTGATTCTGGGCTAATGCTAACATTTTTTTTTCCCAGTCATACTGTGACAGGGCAGTGAGGTGTGGCTGTCGGGTAAAAGGGACTTGGTGATTGGTCAGTTAGCATGAGATCAGCATTGAGGGGTTGCCAGGACCTGGTGTGTGGAGAGCGAAGCTGAGATGATCCTCACCTTGGTAGACAGCACTCCTATCTCCAAGTCATGGTCCGTGTACGCCCGCGAGTCTCCAGCCATCCTCAGTGCGATTTGGTCACCTGGAACGGGGGG